TCTCCCACATCATCTTGGCTGGTGGCACCGGCCAGAATATTGACTCGGACCATAATTTTCTTTTTTTTTCTTTTTTTTAAATATGAAATTTATTGTCAAATTGGTTTCCATAAAACACTCAGTGCTCATCCCAACAGGTGCCCTCCTCAATGCCCATCACCCAATTTCCCCTCCCTGCCTCCCCCCTTCAGCCCTCAGTTTATTCTCAGTTTTTAAGAGTCTTATGTCAAACCATAATTTTCAAAGTAAGGAGAGGAAGGCAAGGGAACTGGGTGATTTCTTAGAATCTCTAGTGAGAAAGGAGCATGTCAGATTTTTATGCTTAGGGAGAGGGTGTGGATGTTCAACACAAGTTGCAAATAGTTTAGAGAGATAAAATATTACTTCAGAAAGTTAGAGAACAGATAAAGGAATTGAATATTTAGACTGGAAAAGAATCATGAAGATACTTGTAATAATAAAATGTGGATCTAGGGCACCTGCCTGGGTGACTCAGTTGGTTGAACATCCAACTCGGTTTTGGCTCAGGTCATGATCTCACAGTTTCGTGGGTTCGAACCCCACATCAGGCTCTGGGCTGGCAGTGAGAAGCCTGCTTGGGATTCTCTCTCTCCCTCTCTCTCTCTGGCTCTCTCTCTCTCTCTCTTTCTCTCAAAATAAGTAAACTTAAAATAAAATTTTAATGTGGATCTATGATTGGCTGACAAGAAGAAGGGGGTTAAATTTATTCCATGTAACTCTAGATGGCAGGATCAGAACCAGTCAGTAGAATTACAGGAATAATGGGTTCAGTAAAGAAAGACTTTTCTAAAAACCAGGGTTAACCTTTAAAGGTAAGAACATGGGCCATGTTTAAGCATCTATCAATGTGACTGCACAAGAGAATTCAATGTAGGGAATATTAAGTTTCAATCACAAAGTTTTCTTTCAACCATGAAGCATTTATTCACAGTATACATTTAAAAAAACAAAAGATACTTTGAGACTGTCAATGGGGCGCCTCGGTGGCTCAGTCAGTTAAGCAGTTAGGCTACTGACTCAGTTTTGACGGTTTTTGCTTTAGTATATATGATCTCATGGTTTCATAAGTTTAAGCCCCGCATCGAGCTCTGTACTGGGGGCATGGAGCCTGTTTGGCATTCTCTCTCTCTCGCTCTCTCTCTGCCCCTCCCCTACTATGTCTCTGTCTCTCTCAAAACTAAATAAACTTTAAAAAATTAAAAAAAAAAAAAATACCGTGACATGCTTAGAATCCTAGACCTCTCAGAAAAAAAGAAGTATCCCTAAATATGCCATGTCCACATTCCCTTTTGAGGATCTGCTATATTTTCATTTCTTGGTAAATTTGCATGGGGATATGTGTAATTATTTGTATCAATAAGTTATATAATTCAGAAAACACATGTTTGCTTTTTGCCTTCCCACAACCTGAAGTCCTGTCTCCTACTTACTCTCTATCTTGTTATCTTTAATTTCTTTGTAGTATTTCCAAATATCTGAAATTTATTTTGTTTACTAGCTTATAGTTTCTCTGTCTACCTATACAATGTAGGTTTTTTAAGACCAGAGCAAGTGGACTTTCAAGGCTACTCGATTATAATTTCATTTTGTGTCAATTTTTCCCTCAGATTCTCCAAGTTTGATCAGTTCTCATCACTTCAATTCCCTCCTAACTAGTTCCATGTAGCATCTGTAGGATATTAGACATGAGAATTTACTTTGGATAGGATTTGAAAAAGCTCCAAAATTAGAATCTAAGTTCCTCTTCCTTCACCATAATAGTTTCTGTAATCTTCATTAAAGAAAAATGTAATTAGCAAGAGAAAAGAATCTGTGTCTAGAAAGAAGAGATAAAGCAAAACAATGTTGAAATATGAAGGCCAATCACCATTCTATGGAAGTTCTTTATTGATGTGATACATTTGGATTATGCTAAATTAGAAACAGGAGAAAGCCCCTGATGATAGATTCCTACTCCATAATCCACTCTACACAGCTCTTGTGAAGAGTGTCTTACCCTTTTACCAGCAGTTCATGCAAAGTGGTCCCATTGAGGCTCTCCCAGTTGGAGTGTAACGTCAGCCACTCCTGGTCTTGCTCCTGTCCGTGTACCAATTTAGTCACAGATGGTTCTCTAATAGAAGGACAAATAATGAAATATTCAAAGCACAGTGATCTTTGACAGGCCATATCATTATTTAACACTCATTCTCTTTCAAAAAGAAACATTACAAGGGCGCCTGGGTGGCTCAGCTGGTTGAGAGACCGACTTCGGCTCAGGTCATGATCTCATGGTTTGTGAGTTCGAGCCCCGCGTCGGGCTCTGTGCTGACAGCTCAGAGCCTGGAGCCTGCTTCTGATTCTGTGTCTCCTTCTCTCTCTGCCCCTCCCTCACTCATGCTCTGTCTCTCTCTGTCTCAGAAATAAATAAACATTAAAAAAAAATTTTTTTAAAACAAACAAAAAAAACCCAAAAAGAAACATTACATTATAAGTCAATATTTCAAGGGTGGGGGGGTTGTATTAGAAATTTGGCATGGAATGTGATCAATAGAAGAGGAAGCTACTAAAAGTATATACTAAAGCAATAAAAATCTTGGGGCGCCTGGGTGGCACAGTCGGTTAAGCGTCCGACTTCAGCCAGGTCGCGATCTCGCGGTCCGGGAGTTCGAGCCCCGTGTCAGGCTCTGGGCTGATGGCTCAGAGCCTGGAGCCTGTTTCTGATTCTGTGTCTCCCTCTCTCTCTGCCCTCCCCCGTTCATGCTCTGTCTCTCTCTGTCCCAAAAATAAATAAACGTTGAAAAATCGCAACTGTTACAGCTGTTTTAATCATGCTCTCCACTGACATGTACTTGAACTTTGTGAGGTGTTCGGATTCTAACGTATATGACATAAAAGTTCCAATATCTCAAAAACAAGAGCAACTTCGGGCAGGGATCAAAAAAAGCAAGATAAAATTTATCTGCCTGGGATTTTTTTTCTCCTCTCTTCTTGCCCAATGTAATCCTGCAATGCAGCGATACCTTAAAATGAAGTAAATACAGTAAAAACTAAAGAAGTAAATAAGTAAATTGATTGCTATGTAATATCTATTTGGACAGCACAAAACTGTAATGATTTTTCTCAACATACTATAAAATCTTTATGCACCAAAAGTCCGGAAAAACTCTGGAAAATAGAAATGGGAGTTAAACACTATTATTTTCCTCTTTATCTGTCTTCTTAATCAACTTCTCTGAATCCTTTTCCGTGAATGTCTTATTCAATCATTCAAGCACATATGGTTACACCACATCCAAGATTGAAAACCTTGGGTTTTCAATCCAAAGATTGAAAATTGGGGTTCAAAAGTATGCAGGTTTTATGTAAAATATTCTATTCTTCATGAAATAATTGGCTCTTTTAGGCGATCTGTATTTGCCGAAAACCTTTTGCAGTTCCATCACCTGAAGCCCCAGGGTAGATGAGGTGGAGGAATGAATTTAGACAGGAGGAAGGAGGGCTGCTTCTAAACCTGGAAGGAAGATGATACTTTGCTGAAGTTGGAGGGGAGTAGAGACTTCAAATCGGATAGCCTCTATCTTTCTTTCCAAGTAAAAGGTGAGCTCCTCAGATGAAAGTTGGGGATGTCAGGGGCTCATGATGACAAGGAAAGTGACAGGTATACGGATTCGTTCCCTGGTGGAAGTGTTTGAAGAAACACATCAAAGATAACTGAGGACAATGGCAACGGCACTGAGGGTTCAAATGAACCTGGAAATCCTGAAATTGTGCCAGCATCAAGTCTTCATGCTTAGTGACTTTCTTTTCCAATAACGGATGGATGACACTTTTTGAAAAAAAAGAGGGGGTCGTGTAGAGGGCACAAAAGGGAAGCAAAGTTCGGTTCAGTGGCATCGAAAGGGAAATGAACATTGCAGCTGATTATTATTTAAAAATTATTTCTGGGGCGCCTGGGTGGCGCAGTCGGTTAAGCGTCCGACTTCAGCCAGGTCACGATCTCGCGGTCCGTGAGTTCGAGCCCCGCGTCGGGCTCTGGGCTGATGGCTCAGAGCCTGGAGCCTGTTTCCGATTCTGTGTCTCCCTCTCTCTCTGCCCCTCCCCCGTTCATGCTCTGTCTCTCTCTGTCCCAAAAATAAATAAACATTGAAAAAAAAAATTAAAAAAAAAAAAATTATTTCTAAAATTTTCACTTTATGAGATTTAACTAATCTCATCATAGAAAACAAAAGGAACAAAACCTTCCCCAAATCCTGTTACTTTTAAAAAGAGGGAAACCCTCTAAAGAGAACTGATGACAGAATGAGAGCCAAAGAAAAAAACAAAACGGAGCCCTTAATAATGAATGGATTCTAATCACTGGATGTTAAAGCAAAGAGCATGCACCCTGACCACACTTTAAGAAGAGTTCCACCAGATTTAAATTCAGTTAGAAACTTGAATGAACTGTGAGGTCATTGAAGAGTTCACAAAACCTACTGCAAAATGAGGGTTTTCCTTGTCCTTGACCAAAATGAGAGTATGGCTTTCTGTTAATCTCAGAAGTTGCGTATGTGGAGGCATAGTGAGAGGGAAACTTTCAATGTCAGACAGAGGTCACAAATACCACTGACAGTATTTCTCCTGATACCTGCATCCTGAGAATTATGTTCTGTGGTAGAACAACTTGGGAGCCTCCTAAATCCAGGCATTTTACTGGCCAAAAGACAAAGGAAGATAAGCATCAGATTAAATTTGTTGTTTAAGTCATTCTTTAGGCAGGTATTTATAAGGCAAAAGGGATTTGCACAGGGAAGTCTATTCAGCATAGGATTTGCACTGATGGTGGATAGAAAAATCATTGCAAAGGAAACTTCAGTCTTTCAATCTGCAAGGCAACTTCAGTTACCCTGAAAAAAGGTCTCCACAGAGCAAGGCACATGGGATGTTTCTGCATTTCATTCATTAATCTCCAACAAGAAAGGCAATTTAGTCTGAATCTCTCACTTACATCAAGTGGAAAATATAAGAAATTCATCATCAAGAAGAGGGGAATGTCATTACAAAAATTAGTTTCCCATGAAATTCTTAAATACTAGAATGCTTTTCATACACAAAAAACAAATCTTTCAGCCCCAGAAATGCCATTCTATGGCTCATTAAAAAAATATCAGGAAATCCATATGGTTGTATTTCTGCCATCATACAGAATCTGAGCATCTGTGTGATTTCAATTTTTAAAATTTTTTCTTTAGACAAGTTTTAAAATTAAAAAATACTTATACCTGGAAAAAATAATACAAATTATACAGTGAAAAAATATTCTTCCCATTCCAGATGTATAGAAACAACCTCCATAAATAGCATCTGAGAGTATCCTTGCCAAGCTTTAGCTGTAATTCATGTATATATACATAGATTTTTTTAGTCCATACACCTTGTTTTCTGTTGTATTTTTTTTTAATCTACACACCTTGTTCTGTGTTGTACTGATGATATTTTTATTTAGTGATTTATCTTGGAGGGCTTTCCGTAAAAATAGTTAACATTTGTCAACTGCACTATTTTATCTTCTTTAATCCTCTGAACAATCTTGGAAAGTAGGCATCATTATTCCCTTTTTCGGAGATGAAAAAATTCAGGTAAAAAGAGAGTAAGTACCTTGCCCAAAGTCACACAGTGACTAGATGGCAGAACTGGGATTTGAATCCGGTGGTCTGATGCCAGAGGACCACTCCTAACACTTCGAACACCACGTGGTCCCTCTTCATTAACAACACATGCTGTGTTCTTTTTACAGCTGCAGAGTTTTACCATTATATGGATGTACATACATTTACTTACCCAGCCCACTATTAACCCACAGGTAGGCTGTTTCCAATTTTTGTTACAACAAAAAACAGCAGTTAACCCTTTTAACTGTTCACCTTTGCCTACATGCACAGTTTCCCAAAATAAAAATAATTTCCTAGATATAAAAGTATCAAATCAAAATGGAAATCTTTGACTCACAGTATGGATTTTCCCTTCAAACACTAATGGCAATTTACATACTCATCAAGAATATGTGTGTAAGGACTTTTTAACTTTTATAACTATGCACAAAGTGTAAATCATGCTATTAAAAGGTATCTGGAACTTAGCTGCTCAAATTTGGTTTGACAGTCGGTAGTGATTTTGACTTACCTTTTTCCATATTTTACCAAATTAAAGAAAGTCTGTTGGGTAGACAGCGAAAGAGCAAAACCCATTTTACTAGTAATTAGGCATCAAAGTCACTGTATCCTAAGAAAGTGTGTGCAGGGAATATAATCAACCCTGAATGTTTCTATAGCAGCCATGAAATCATATACAGAGAAAGAAAATAAGGGACAATCTAATCCAGTGCCCTCATTTGACAGCCTGACAGTCTGAGAAAACTGAGACACAGATACAGACCCATCCCAAACATTCGTGGGGGCCAAACATTTGTCAGTAAGGGTACAAATGGAGGCCCACATAAGATATGTCTACATATTTAGATGTTAGAAATCAAATTCACAAGTTGTTAAAGAACATGTCTTCTATCTTCCCTTTTTTCCCCCCCAAGATTTTATTTAAATTCAAGTTAGTGAACATATAGTGTAATATTAGTTTCAGGAATAGAATTTAATGATTCGTCGTTTACATATAACACCCAATGCTCATCACAAGTGCCCTCCATAATGCCCATCCCCCATTTAGCCTCACTCTCCTCCCCTCCAGCAACCCTTGGTTTGTTCTCTATATTTAAAAGTTTCTTATGGTTTGCCTCCCTCTCTGTTTTTTACCTTATTTTACTTTTCCTTCCCTTCCCCTGTGTTCACCTGTTTCTATCTTGCCATCTTGACCAACGTATCTTTTAGGCTCGGAATATAGGATTTTGGCCTCTTTGGAACAGTGGTTTCAAACCTTGGCATTCATCATCACCTGGAGGACCTGTTACAACAAAGCTTGCTGGCCCCACTCCCAGATTCCCTGATTCAGTGAGTCTGAGATGGGGCCGCAAAGGCTACCCTTCTAACAAGATCCCAGGTGATGCGGCCACCGCTGGTCTGGGACCACACTTTGAAGACATTGCTTCAGATAGCAGACCAGGCTCCAGGTGGGCAAGACCGATTCCTTGCCCCATGGGGT